ACAAAGCATAGAAACACACATAAAAGAACACAAATGAAAAAAACAGTGAATCTCAGAAACAAGTAACAAAGTGTAGCAAGAGAATAAGTGACTCCCTTCCTCCTTAGGACCACCTGGCTTCAGGCTACTGTTCGTTCATACTGTACTCTGTTTCTTTTCCCCACTGATCCTTGTCCTTTGCACATGATCTACCTAGGTCACTGATAATAGCACCCCCTCTTATATCTAGGAACTTTATAGGCTCACCTCCGGGCAAGGAGAGAGCTAACAGCATGTGGTTGCTTCAACATTCCCATTTGGCACAACTGGAAAGAGCCAGATCCTTACTTCAAACAGTAAATATATCCTACACTAGGAGAGGTGGTACACCAAGAATGACAATACACACATAAACATCAGTGGTAATGACTCTACTTCAGAACAACTGCTGGATGGAGTTGCGTATGCACACAACTGATCTGTAACTCCAAATTACAATTACACCAAAGGAAAAACACTTGGCCTAAGAATGAAAAAACCTGGCCTAAGAAATTCATGTTTGAATTTTAATGCACTACCTTATAAAACAGAATGTATATATACATACACATAAACATGCATGTTTATACCTATGATGTATACACACATATGTATACACACACATATCCATCTGTAGAGATATATGGATATATAACAGAACTGGGGAAAACAATGGCTTTTCAAATCATGAGAAATGATTCCTAGCCACACCTCCCTTACCTTGACATCACAGGTCTGACAATCTTAGCTGAAGAGGAGGAAGGTAGAGGAAGGTAGTTGAGTCGCTATAATAATGAAGTTCATTCATTTTAAAGTGAGCAAGACCTCACAAAGCCTCGTCAGATGCTGTTTACTGCTACTCAACATATAATGTGTGGTGTCAGGACTTCCAAAGCCCACAGTTAAGTTAGAGGATGGCTCTGAAGGCAATAGGTAAAAGCAGAGAGAAGTGACAACAAACAGCAAGGGGAAAAGAAAACTCAAGGAGAAAGCATATCTGAGGCCCCAGTGGGGGAGCTTTAACAAAGGCAGGTAGGACCTGAAGAAAATAATTCAAAACAAAAATGATGAACTCCCAAAAGATTAGTCTTCAGTAGATTCTGCATATAAGCAAAGAAAATAAGTAAAACCAAACAAGTGAGAGAAACTCCATGTAAATAATTGAAATTTAGCAAAACGGATGTGCAACTTAAAAGAATAATCTTAAATTGGCTGCGCTACATGCCTTACGCTCTCCCAGAAATAGGATATCTATTACATATATATTGCTTCTAAAATATCCAAAGTAATCATATAAAAAGAATACAGAACCTTTCTCATCCACTTATTATTGAAACCATTATAGACCTTCTTGGTAAAAAGCACTTCAATGGTGTTAGGGAGAATTTAAGTCCACTTCTCTGTGCATGGGAACTTGATATTGGGTCCTGAGTGATAGGCCGTATTGATTAGGGGGCTCAACAGATGGCAAAACCAACCAAGGACAGGGGGACCAAAAATACTTCCCTGAAACCAGAGCTCAACACGTGGTCTGTAGAGCAGAACAATCACATCTCCAAGAGAACCTGATGCAAAATGTGGATCTGAAATCCCTCTGAAACTGCACAAATCTCTAGAGGAAAAGTCTACATGTTCCACACTTGGGAAGAGACCACACCTGCCGAAGGATGTCTGCTACAGTCTGAAAACCACACAGGCATCCTCTTGTAGTGCAGGCCCAGCCCCCCCCCCCCAGGTAGGAGGCGAACAGCCAACCAGATGTGTGAATTAACTGCCCCCACCCTTTTTCCTCCTGTGCCTGCTAGAGATGAGTAATGACTGACGTGTCTTGCACCACACAGTAAATACAAAGCTATCTGTAAACTTCTATAATATACATATAATTTTAAAATGCTAACAAGCCTTAATTAGTTCTAAAAAGATCATAAGATTTCTCAACAATACATGAGAAGCATAAAAGCAACAGATGCCGGCAGTTGGGGAAAATACTAAGTAAACATGTGTGAGGCAAGTCCAGAAAATGAGGAAGAAAATGTATCTAAAAGCATCCTTGGAGGAAGGACAGAATTCAGTGTACACCCAGAACACAAAAAGACAAATAGATTAAAACTTGAGATGTTTAGGCCAGTTTTTAACACCCTGAAATCAAAATCAAACATGTTTAGCTGGGCACTGGTGGCTCACGCCTGTAATCCTAGCTAGCTGAGATTGGAGGACCAAACTTCAAAGCCAGCCTGGGTAGGAAAGTCTGTGAGACTCTTATCTCCAATAAACCACCAGAAAACCAGAAGTGGTGCTGTGGCTTAAGTGGTAAAGTGCTGGCCTTGAGCTGAAGAGCTCAGGGACCAGCACCCAGGCCCAGAGTTCAAGCCCAATGACCAACCACAAAAAGAAGAAAAAGAAGAAGAGGAGGAGAAGGAGGAGGAGGAGGAGGAGAAAAAAATCAAGCATGTTTGATTTTAAAGTTGTAAACACTTCTGAATTTATTATGAACATATAAAAATTTAGAGGATTTTTTTTGGGGGGGTGAGTTTCCTGGAAGTTTAAAAATAAAAGAACTATTCTAATCAGCCACGGGCCTCTCTAATCTGAAGCTGAGCAGCTACTGTTCATCTTCAGCCACTGGGGTTTCTGCAGAATGGCCACCAGGTAACTGCATGCATTTGGCAACCCTGGCTTAAAGAATCAAAATATCCATTTTTCTAATTTGGGGAGGGAAGGGAAATAACAAACTGCTGAACTAAGGATACAGGTTGACCCATTGTAACAATGAGATGTACAAGACACTATGTTGAAAATAAACTTTACAACTTTTTTGGGGGGAGGAGGGGAGTTTGGGAGGTGGGAGGGGAGGGATGGTAGGGGAAAAACAAAGGAGGAGGTAACAATGCTTGATAGGAAATGGATTCATTACCTTACTGCTATAACTATAACCCCTCTATACAGTATTCTTACAATAAAAAATATATAAAATAGGAAAAAGAATCAATGTACCAATTCAGCTTCTCTGTGCCTTACCAGACTAGCAAGTAATCCTGCTACAAAGATCCTTTTCTATCTCGGAGGAGGTAGGCAAGAAATCAGATCATGTCTGCAAGTGACCTAGAATTTCACATAGCATTACCCCATCCTCAGATTTCCACTGGAATCACATGGGGGAAATAAAAACCTATGTCCCATCTCCAGGGATTGTTATTTTCCTTGGTCTAGGATGCAGCCTGGCCATCAGGAATGGTATATAGATCCTCAGGTAATCCTAATGGACAGCTAAATTGAACAATCTAGCCTTCATAGGATGTGAGTCATTGACTATGAAGGATTAAAGATTATTTCGTACCCAGATTTCTTGCCTCTCACCTCTTCTGCAATTCAGCTCACCTCTTACTTTGGGAAAAGCTGTTATTCCAAATGCCTGCCAAATGCCATTTACAAACTGGAGAAGATAGTCAAAATATATTCTACTTTCTACCTCTCATTTTTCTTCCAACATAACTGGAGAATAAAAACACTTTAAAAGGGGGGAAGGGGATGTGTGTGGGTGGGAGATGGGAAGGGGAAACAAAGGAGGAGACAACAATGCTTGATAAGAAATGTACTCATTACCTTGCCCATGTAATTGTAACCCCTCTATACGGTATTTTCACACACACACACACACACACACACACACACACACAAAAAGAATAAAAAAAAAACCTTTAAAAATAAAAAAGGAGAAGGGAAATTATCCCGAGACAAAACTCAGGCAGTACAAATAGCTTAAATACACAAAGAGAAGGTGCATAGTAGAAGACATGTATGAAAAGGTGCAATTGCTCTGAAACTTATCAATGTACTAAGCAGGAATTTTTTTAATATTAAAAGAAAAGAGCAAGACCTACTGGTAATGGCCCAATTTTTGCCTTAAGATGAATTCCAGATTATTACTGCTCTTCAAGTTTTCTGTCGGTAACATGCATTTATATTTTAGACTTTCCTCATGGGACATACAAACTGCTATCGCCTAATTTTCACACTCTAATACCACCTTAAATTACAGCTGGAAAGGTAGATATTCAATAGCATTTCATGCAGTAACAGACCTTAAACATTTCCTGGTCTGAACTGACACCATCTAGACCTTAAACATTTCCTGGTCTGAACTGACACCATCTATTGACTAGACTCCCATCATGCATTAGGCAGTATGCTAGATACCTGATCTACAGGATCTTAAATCAGCCCAACAAGTTCCCACAGTCAATTCTATCAGCTCATCTAGCATTTTCTTTTCTATGAGCTTTAGAAAGATTTGTAACTGTCTATGACCACTGAATAGAAGCAATCGGCACTTGGATTCAAACTCACATCTTTGTGTCTAATTCTCAAACTTGTTTGCCTGGAGTTAATCTACTTTGTTTATCATCACAACCCACAGATCTATCTAGATCTATGCCTGCTTATCCCCACCTTGCTTGTATAAATCAGAAAGTTAAACCATTTTCACATCACAGAACAAGTTAGTGGAATCCACAACTACAACCTGTCTTCCTCTCTCTATTCCAAGTTCTTTGGGAGGATGTGTCAATTCACACAGTGTCAATCATTTCTGGGCCACGTGATACATGTCACAGCCCAGAAGTGGCCTACCATGAAGTGAGGCATACAGAACACACAGTTACAGTACAAAGATATAGGAATGGCAGCCGTGCATCACTGATGAATAGAAATCAAAAGTCTTCTGATTTCTGAGATTCTGCAACACTGATACGCATATGGCTAAGTTTCAACACAGACTCGTACATGTCTGTTCATTCCAAGCCCCCGAGGAACCAGGAGCCAAGGCTGAACACTTTAGTTGCTCCAGTATAATCTCATGAAACCCTGAAAACAATGATGCCCATAACATCTGGGCACAAGATCCCTCTGTAACCTTGATCCCGTCTCTGGCTGCCCTGACACGGCCACAGACAATCACAAGACATCCTCAGGAAGCCTAAACATCATGGTATACAGGTTGCCCCTTTATTTGTAAAAATCATAAAAGAGACTGGGTCATTAGAATCCAGGTATACAGTCTCATGTCTGTGAGTGCCACAATGTGAAGCAGGCCCCAGAGGAGTATATCGCTTCATGTCCTGGCAGGCAAAGATCCTCTTTAAGCCGTGAACACTACGTCCTCAAACTTGTATTGCTGTTCCAGTGATGTGTCATGGCTCAGGCGTGAGTCTTTAAAAAAAAAAATTTTTTTTAAGACACAGCTACAGCATCCCTGCAAGAGAAAAGAAAACAAGCTTTATCACCTAATAAACATGTCTTACAAATCAATACTTATTTGCCTCTTTGCTGAGGTAACTCCTGGGAGTCACTTGAATTCTATCACTATGGATAATTCTTGAAGAAATTGCATTCCTACCTCCTAATGATGTTCGAACAGAGAAAGCCCTTATTTTATTAAGTCAACTGCCCAGCAGAGGTGGCTCAGAGAAGTCTAAGATATAGCTAAATCTGAAGTCTTAATCATTTCAACATGATACAACACCACTATGTTATCAAACTCACCAAGCCCTAACTCCCGACTGCCAGCGGCAAGAACTCACAGATGTCAAGGCTATTTGTTTTATTCAAAAATGACAGGAAATCAAAACTCGATGGAATGGATGTGTCAGCAGCAATGCCACAAGCATATTGGTTAGTGAGATTTATGCACCTCCATTTAGCTCATGACAAAAACCACCTTCGGAGCTTTTTAATTGTCTACTTGGACGTACAGAACAGGGTGTTCTATTAAAGCATCTTTAACGCTAGGTACCATATACCACATAGTCACATTCTATGTGAAGTAAATACAATGTGATGTAAAAAATATTACTCTTCCTAGCAGCGTTTGTGTTTCCTTAAAGGACTGGATACAAAATATTTTAGGCACAATGACTCAACTCTGTTACTATAGCTTTGGACACAGGCAATAACACAGCTGTGTTCCAAAAAAGCTTTATTTAAAAAAGTTTAAAATGTCTTTTAAAAATTGAGAAGTGGCCAGGCACTGATGGTTCACACCTAAATCCTAGCTATACAGGAGGCTGAGACTAAAGACCATTGTTCTAAGACAGCCTGAACAGGAAAGTCTATGAGACTCTTACCTCCAATTAACCACCAAAAACCCAGAAGTGGAGCTGTGGCTCAAGTGGCAGAGTGCTAGCTTGGAACACAAAAGCGCAGAAATAACACCCAGGCCCCAGGACTGAGCAAAAAATGTGTGTGTGTATAATTCCAGAGTGGGAATACTGAGTAAATTACAGCCAGCACATGTGTGGTAACACAAAGCCCATGTTTCTATTTCATTCGGATATGCACTAAACTTGATGAGCAATTTTAATGACCACTGTTGCTAGTGTTTTAACTCCTTTACTGTTATTATTTTAGTATTTGTTTATACTGTAAAATAGCTTCATCCAAGCCAATTGCTGGTAATCCGGTAATCTGTATGCCTGTAATCCTAGCTACTCAGGAAGCTGAAGATCACATTCCACAGCCAGCATGAACAGCAATGTCTGTGAAATTCCTATTTCCAATTAACCAGCAAAAAACAGGAACTAGAGATGTGGCTCAAGTGATAGCATACCAGCCTTGAGTGAAAAAAAAAAAACAAACAAGTGAGAGATTGCACACACACACACACACACACACACACACACACACACATACTCCCTCATCCAACTCTTCACAAATCAATGATATTGGAATTGATGATACAGGGAAAATAAACTTTCAGACTACAAACGTTGGACTCATAAAATATGATCTATTGATTTATTTTAAAAGGATAAGTAGTCACCAAAATACTGCTTGATATTAACTTAAGACATTAATTCAGAAGGCAACAAATGTTTTCTTAAAAGACCAGATAGGAAATATGTTAGACACAATGACACTACTCTGCTATATTAGCTTTGGACACAGTCAATACCACAGCTGTGTTCTAGAGGGGAAAAAAAAACTTTACGTATAAAAAGCAGACAAAAAGCTAGATTATCTTATATGCTATGGATTTCTGACTTTTGCCTTTCAACTGTGGAATCTCTCCTATTTTGCCCAGTAGTACTGGGGTTTAGACTCAGTTCTTTGAGCTTGCTAGGCAGGTGCTCAGCCACTTGAGAGACACCTCTAGCCTTTTTCTATTTTTGAGATACAGTCTCTCTTTTTGCCTGAGCCAGCCTGGACCACGAGCCTCCTATTTATACTTCCTGACACAGCTGTAATGACAGACATCAACACCAAACCCAGATGTGTCTGTTGAGATGGCGATCCCCTGAATACTTCTGCCCATCTGGTCACCATCTTCCCGCTGTCAGCTTCCTGAGTACCTAGATCGCAGGCATGAGCCTGCTACCCACCCACCTTTCTTTTAATGTAACCCTTTACCACCCATGAAATCAATAGTTTTCTCACTTACAACTTTTTCCTTTCTTTCCATACAATTGTCTTTAGGTAAATAAAAAGTTCCCTCTAGACAGAAATATTTCGAGCTTCAAAAACGTTGTGAAATAGTCAAGAAAATGGAATGGAGTAGAATAAAGCGACATCACGGCTGTAAGATCAAAACCTCATAATGTTCTATCATATTTGTGGTGATGTTTGCATAACCATATATGAATCATGGAAGTGGCGCTGTGGCTCAAGTGGTAGAGCACTCGCTTTGAGCTGAAGAGCTGAGGAACAGAGCCCAGGCCCAGAGTTCAAGCCCCATGACTAACAAAAACAAAACAAAACAAAAAGCCATATATGAATCACAACTCACCAATTGGTAGTCCATGACATTGACTCTTAAATCACCAATGGACATCATATCACAATGAAGCTGGTCTTCAGAATAGTTAAAACCTCTTTAGAGGAATGCAGATTTATGTGCTAAGAGTATACATTCCCTTTTTTACATATGCTCTTCTAAGAAAACTGGTTATGAATTTGAAGGGTTTGAGCTATGGAAATAAGTCAGAAATTCAGGACTGTGGACATTTATTGTCACTGTCCTCAACGGAAGCCCAGGTCATATTCAGACCTCCATCATTCCATGTATGAGAGAAAAGAATGCTTTTCACCAACAGTGCAAGACCCGGAGTTCACAGCTACATGCTGTACTAAATCACATTATCTTGTTTAGCCTTCCTAACAACAATAAAAACAGTTAATATGTGTGAAGTATACAGAAGATTAATATGAGTCAACATGTTGTTTTCTTTTCCTTTTTCCTTTTTTTTCTTTTTTTTTAGTGTACTGTTTGCAGTGATTTCATTTGTCTTTCATTCTTTTCTCCTGTGGTTTATTCCTGGGTCACTGTTTCTGATTTTGTAAATTTATCGGATTTGAGGAAGGGATGAGTTCTCACAGAAACTATGGGACAAAGGGTGAACCAATGCAACAGTGATACTCACTAGACCCTATGTTGGAAATGAACTTTACAACTTGGAGAGGGGAGGGGAGTCAGGGGGAAGGGAACATAGGAGAAAATGAGGGAGAGGGTAACACTGTTCAAAAAGAAATGTACTCATTACTTTATGTAACTTATGTAACTGGAAGTATGTTCTACTTACTGTGAAAGTGGAACTTATATAATCCCTTTGTACATCACCTTTACAACAAAATAAAATTTAAAAAATAAATAAAAGCAATGAAAGTATCACCTCACCCCAGAAAGAACGGCAAAAACCAAGAACTCTAATAACAACAGATGCTGGAGGGGATGTGGACAGAAAGGAACCTTACTGCATTGTTGGTGGGAATGTAAACTTGTCCAACCACTTTGGAAAGCAGTATGGAGGTTCCTCAAAAGACTTCACATAGAACTCCCCTATGAC